CGCCGGAAGTCCCGCCTCCAGCGCGCCTCCCCTAAGCCTTCATTGGCTCAGCTGCTCCTCGAAGTCCGAACAGACTTCTGGGTATTGTAGTTTCCGATGCCGCCGCCAACTGTCAGGTCTCCGTCCCTAAGTCACTCCCAGTGGCGGATAAAGGCCGAGTGCCCGGGTCAGGGGCGCTGGGAACGGAGTTAGTTCCGGGCTCCGAAAGGAGGCTGGGCTCCGCGAGCTCTTAAAGGGGACGTGCCCAGGTTTCTCGGGAGGCGGTTCAGGAAGCCACCAAGGTTAGAGGCCTGTTATTCTCAGGCCCGCCCCACCAGGCCCGGCACGTTCCCACTCACAGCTGTCAGCTATCTCGGGGCTTTGCGGATACACATGCTCTGGAGAACCAAGACGGTGGCGGAGGTGAATGCCGGTACACACGGCTCCCGGAACCGCAGCACAATTACAACTAAAACACAGAACCGCCTGACAGCGGGCTGAGTGGGAGTCTTACTTCTAGAGAAATAAGGAAGAGGACACACAGGAGGGGTGGAGGCGCCGAGCTTTCCACGCGCTTTCCATTCACTTCAGTGCGGACTCCGAGGAAGCTCTGGACCAAAGACCAGGCCCCAACCCCACTGAAACTCTCTATGACGTAGAGTCTACGCCACTAACCAGGTCTCTGAAGCCCCGCCCCCAGGCCGTGCGTCACTATCAGGCCTTTGAAGCCCCGCCTCCAGGCTGTACGTCACTATCAGGCCCCTGAAGCCCCGCCCCCAGGCCGTGCGTCACTATCAGGCCCTTGAAGCCCCGCCCGCAGGCTATGCGTCACTAAAGGACATCCAAACCCCGCCCCCACGCTGTGCACGCCGTCTGAGCTCTCATTGGTCGGTCGCCGCCGCCTCCGCACTGCCTCCTGGGTAATGTAGTTCCTTCGCCGTGCCGGGCGCTGGCTCAGAAGCAGGTCATTCCTGATGGTGAATACCGGCCAAGGGGCAGAGGGAGGGTCGCCGGGAAACGGAGTTCCAGGGCCCGAACGGGGCCGGGCTTCGCTGGCTCTGGACGCGGCTCCGCTCAGGTTTCCTGGAGTGCGGTCCAGGGGCTCGCAGAGACTGTCCAGGGACTCGGGGGGTCGCAGCCGGTTCCCGAAGGCTGCGCTCGGGAAGGGGCAGCCCCCTCATCGCTGTCGGCCACCGAGTTGTCAGATGCGCACTGAGGCTGTGGAGCTTTCTGAGCTCCAACAGGTTTGTCGGGGACAATAAGACATGCCCCCAGGCAGGGCTATGACGGGGTTCGGGGTGACAGGACCCCCCCACCAAGTGGTCAGGATGTCCCTGTGCCTCTGGCTGCCACAGGAAACATCTGTCCCGCCTGTATGGCTAGTGATGGTGTTCCAATGGAGGGAGCCACGTTTTAAAAATCAACGGAGTACATTTTATTTTTCCAGTTGTTCTTTTTATTTTTAATATATATATATTTTTTATTCATTTCAGAGAGGAAGGGAAAGGGAGAGAGAGATAGAAACATCAATGATGAGAGAGAACCATTGATTGGCTGCCTCCCGCACACCCCACACTGGGGATCTAGCCGGCAACCGGGCATGTGCACTGACCGGGAATTGAACCGGTGACCTCTTGGTTCCTAGGTTGATGCTCACATGATGAGCCACACCCAGCTGGACAAGGGAGCCACATTTTAATTCAGATATTCATCACTCCACGTCTGAGGCCTTTCCCACTTAGGAATCTGAAAGCTCTCTGCGAGGGACTTCTCTCTTCTGTGTGGGCAGCCTGTGTCTTTCTGACAACTTGACCGCATGTGCAAAGGGAGCATCTTACCTCTGCGATGAAGGTTTGGGTGTCTGATCTCGCCTCCTGCCTGGGAAGTGGTTCATCGTTGCGTCTGTAATTGTAGCGACAATGTCTGCCAGGGCGTTGAGGTTATCTCTGGGAAAACACTTATGAAGTGGGTATTACTCAATGTTAATAATTACTTGGTTGTTTTCCAAGGAAAGTGACAGAAATGGTTCTAGGGCAGCGGTTCTCAACCTGTGGGTCGCGACACCTTTGGCGGTCAAATGACCCTTTCACAGGGGTCGCCTAAGACCATCCTGCATATCAGATATTTACATGACGATTCATAACAGCAGCAACATGACAGTTATGAAGTAGCAATTAAAATAATTTTATGGTTGGGTCACAACATGAGGAACTGTATTTAAAGGGCCAGAAGGTTGAGAACCACTGTTCTAGATGGATATGTGACAAGTCGGAGGGAAAAAAATAGGATTTCAGGGCCCGTTGAGTGAGAGGCACTGAGTGTGAAAAGTCAGAGAATGACACTGAGACTGGCTTGCTGAAACCTTGGCCACACTCAGGGTTTTGTCCCCAAATGTGATCATCCTATATAACAAAAGGCTAATATGCAAATCAACTGAATGGTCGAATGACTGGTTGCTATGATGCGCACTGACCACCAGGGGGCAGACGTTCAATGCAGGAGCTGCCCCCTGGTGGTCAGTGTGCTCCCACAGGGGGAGGGCTGCTCAGCTAGAAGCCTGGCTCACAGCTGGCGAGCCTCTCCCACCTCCGTGGCAGCGCTAAGGATGTCCAACTGCTGGCTTAGGCCCACAGGTAGCAGACATCCCCCGAGGGCTCCCGGACTGTGAGAGGGCGCAGGTGGGGCTGAGGGAGCCCGCCCCCCTCCCCAGTGCACAAATTTCATGCACCAGGCCTCTAGTTTTTAATACTTCTAAAATATTGCACATTAACAGCTTGGAGGGAAAGGTAAAAACAATACTTAAAAAGTTGCCAGAAAGGTAAAAAAGAATAGGAGAGTTATGTATTTACTCATCTACAATTATTCAACAAGCATTTAGGTTTTCAGGCACAACATTAGTGCATGGCCCACACCAGGCATAGGACTGCCTGTACTGACATTGTCAGGATGTGTAAATACCCTGTATTTGGTTTCTTACAATACATTACAGAAAGTCAGTATAGAGCTATTTTTTTTCTCTCCCTGCAATTGGCAATTAAATCACTTAGTGGAAACACTAGCTCAAAACCACGTCTACACAAAGAACCGTGGGGATGTGCCTTATGGGCTGCCTCTCCTGCGGGTGTGGCTGAGGAAGAGCAAAAGAGGGGACTAAGGAAGTGCTTACTTTTCATGCCCAGGAAAGGAAAAGCCTGTTTTTTGGCCCAATTCCAAAGTTGTGAATAAGAAACCAAGATGAGAGTTAACTTCGGATGACCTCTGAAAGCCAGCAGCAACCGCAGTCTCATTCCGGTAACTCAGCTTCTGAAAATCAGCACATCTCTGATAGTCACAAACTTCTAAAATTCAGCCAATGAGCGCTCAGGCCCCAACAGACAGCCAATCAGTGACAGCCCAGGATCCTAGGCCAAACCACATGCTGCCAAATATCCTCCAGGTAAAAGGAGAAATGACAAGGGAAACTTTAAGAAGCCTAAGTATTCTGAACTAGAGGAAAATAAAAATGCTACCTGCAGCCCCTGCTGTCCTTCAGTGGGTGGATGGATGAACTGTGAACATTCATGCAATGGAATTTATTCAGGGGTAACACGCACAGGTATTCACAGCAGCTTTATTGGTAATAGCCCCAAACTGGAAGCAACCCAAATAGCCACTAACAGCTGAGTGGACAGAAAGCTGCAGTATCTCCGTACAATGGAACAGCACCCAACAATACAAATGAATAAACCATTGGTACATGTAACGGGATGGGTTAATCTGAAAACAATTATGATTAATGAAAAAAGCCAGGGCCCCCCTCCCCAGGAAGCATAAAAATCTAGAAAATGCTTGCTGCTGTTTGCATATTGTGGGGAAGGGGTTTGAAAGGACTGGGAGGAAAGGGCCCTAAAGGAGCCCCTTGTGCTTTGCTGGACACGTTCACTGTCGTGATTCCGGTCATGGCTCCTCAGGCGTGTACACGTGCCAAACATGTCACACTCTTTGTATGTGCAGTCTTTGCATGTCAATCACACGTCGATAGAAAACACACGTATTCGCCCTCCTCTTGCCAGGTCACATCTGCCAGCTGGTCTGGTGCTACCGTATCCCTCGCCCCGTGATTTAAAGGGGAGCCCTGAAGCGAGGAATGAAGTCCATTCGTTTCCACGTCACACACGGGCATCCTGTGCCCTCTCCCGGGGCTGCCCTCGTCAGCGCTGGTGCAGTGATGGCCATGCCTTCAGCAGCCCCGGGAGGAGGAACCCACGAACCTTTACCCCGACAGCGGCCGTGGCCACAGGAGATGCAGACGTCTGAGGGTCCCGAGAACTTCTGTACCCTCTCCTCCGACACGGGCACTTGTAGACGACCCCTTTATAACAGACACACAACCTCTCATTTCCAGTCAGCCTGGCGCCGTGGTCTAAGTATTGCTACACAAAGCATGACTCGCACCTTGCCCTGCAGGCCTTCCAGGCGCTGACACCTGCCCACGGATCCTGGACACCAGGTACTGGCTCCCGTAGATCCAGGGGACAGAAAGCCCCCACACGTGCCGGGGAGGATGGGACGTCTCCTACGAAAGGGGACCCGGCTCACGGTGTTTCCAGAAGTGCTGGCGGTTTCTCAGCACGAACTCTGGCCTCCAGAGAGCCTGGGCGTCCAGGCCGCAGGATCAGGCACACCACGGTCTCAGTCGTTCCCCGCAAGCCTCGGACAGGAATGCAGACCAGGCCCAACTGGACTGAGGCCTGTCCTCTGCCCTCCTGCTGTCCCTTCTCAGGCACATGAAGTTGGTGCCAACGAAGGTGTTCCTCCCTTCGTGTTGGCAGAACCCAGCCTCCTCTCAATCGATGTCCCACAGGGAGCCGCCATGACGCCCTGCAGGCCTGCACCGCAGCGGACCGGAGCCGCGGGGCAGCAGTTCCACCGGTGGGGGATTGGAAGAGGACCAATGACTTAGAGTCCAGGCTGCTTGAAGGGAAGCCTGTGTGGGAATGCCCAGCAGACTCCCGCTCAGATCCTGTGGCCAGAGCTCGACCACGTCCTCTCAGAACCCGTCAGGGGAAGTGAGGACCGTCCATGGCTCGAGCACGCAGATCCCCGCCAGGGAATGGCGCGTGTGCAGGGTCTGCCTTCCCTGAGCTACTGGAGTGATTGACACGCAGGGGGACCCACAGCTGGAGGCAGCGATGGCTTCTGCCAAAGGCACTGGCACTGACAAAACCGTCAGGAGCTCTAGGCAGCTCGGAAAGTGCAGCGTCGCTCATGAAGACTCCCAGCTCACGGCATTCACGGGGAGTGTCCCAGGCGGGCGCACGCCTGTACGAGGCTCGCCTGCAGGCCGTGCTCCCTCGGGGCCAGGTGCTCACAGAGCTCCCTCCGGTGTGAGGCTGAGGACGAACACGGAGAGGCTCATACCCCGAGTCACAGGCCCTTCCTGAGTGTGGGCCTCCTGGGGCTACAGCAGTCTCAGCGACGCAGCCAAAGGGCCCCCGAAACTGCCGCGGTCGTGAGGCCTCGCTCCAGCGTGAACCTTCTGGTGCCGAGCCAGGTGGGAGCTCCTGCTGTAGGCCTTCCCACACTCGCCACACACGTAAGGCTTTTCTCCAGTGTGAACCCGCTGGTGCAGGATGAGGCTGGAGTTGCGGCTAAAGAACTTCCCACACTCGCCGCACGCGTAAGGCCTCGCTCCCGTGTGCACCTTCTTGTGCTGGACCAGGTGGGAGCTGCTGATGTAGGCTTTGCCACACTCGCCGCACACGTACGGCCTCGCGCCCGAGTGGACCCGCTGGTGCAGGATGAGGCTGGAGTTGTGGCTGAAGCACTTCCCACACTCGCCGCACGCGTAAGGCTTCGCTCCGGTGTGGGTTCTCTGGTGCACGATCAGGTTGGAGCTGTGGCTGAAGAACTTGCCGCACTCGCCGCACTCGTAGGGCCGCTCCCCGGTGTGGATCTTCTGGTGCTGGGCCAGGGTGTCCTTGCGGCTGAAGGCCTTCCCGCACTCGCCGCACGCGTACGGCCGGGCCCCGGTGTGGACGACCTGGTGCTGGACCAGGGTGTCTTTGCAGCCGAAAGCCTTCCCGCACTTGCTGCACACGTGGGCCCTGGCTCCTGAGTGGACTCTCCGGTGTTTGATGAGGCTGGAGTTGTGGCTGAAGAACTTGCCGCACTCGATGCACTCGTAGGGCCGGGCCCCGGTGTGGATCCTCCAGTGCTCGATCAGGTGGGAGCTCTGGCTGAAGAACTTCCCGCACTCGCTGCACTCGTACGGCCGCTCCCCGGAGTGAAACCTCTGGTGCTGGGCCAGGGTGTCCTTGCGGCTGAAGGCCTTCCCGCACTCGCCGCACCGGTACGGCCGCTCCCCGGTGTGGACGCGCTGGTGCTGGAGCAGGTGGGAGCTCCTGCTGTAGGCCTTGCCGCACTCGCTGCAGTCGAAGGACCGCTCGCCAGTGTGCACCCTCCGGTGCTGGACCAGCGTGTCTTTGCGGCTGAAGGCCTTGCCGCAGTCGCCGCACGGGTAGTGCCTTTGCCCGGGGTGCAGTGTCCGGTGCGCCTTTAGGTGGGACAGGTGCTCGAAGGCCTCCCCACACTCCTCACACACAGGTGCTGCTTCCCGCTGGGAGTGTTCCGGGGGGAAATGAGAGCCGCTTTCTCCTGGGACACACTTCCGCGGGGCGGGCAGCCGGCGGGCCCCCCTTCCGTGTGAGTCACCCGCCTGTCCGGCGGCGGGAAGGTGCTCAGGAAGGCGTCCCCGTCGTCACGGCGGCTGAAGAGCGCCCGTGCCTCCTGGTGCCCCTGGTGGTGCCCGGGGCTGGCACCGTGTGGGGAAGAGTCCGAGAGCCCAGTCCCCTTGCGTGGGCTCAGCCCACAGTGAGCGGGCCGGTGCCGGGAGAGGCCGGAGCTGCCCAGCAGGCCCATCCCACCCTCCCTGCAGGGACAGGGCCTCCCGAACGTGGGGGCGGCACAGCTCTTCCCCGAGGCCCCACCATCGTCCCCGCCGCGGGGGCGCTCTGCACTGTGCTGCTCCTCGTGCTGGGCAGAGTCTGCACGGCCCGAGGGTCCTCTCCCGCCGGGGCCACGTGTGCACGGCTCCCGCATGGCGTGCGACCCCTGGAGACCGCCCGGGGGCACAGCGTCTTTCCGGAGCGGTTCCCACGCCTCCCACGGGAGGGCTGGCTGGGTACGTGGACCTGGATCGGGCATCCTGTCCTGCGACGCGTCTGCAGAAGCGCTCAGCTCGGAAGGGGCCGCCTCAGGGTCAGCGTCGCGCCAGCAACCTGCAAGCAGAGAGATGCTGGCCAAGTGCACGTGGCCTCGGCGGGAAGAGCAGCCTGTCCCATCCCGTGTCACACACCCAGGAACGAGCCCACGGCCCGCTGGCTGGAGCAGGGAGCCAGGGGAACGCGAGGAAGGGCCCCGTCAGCCTTGGGCCTCTGGGGGTCACAGAACGGAGGTGCCCGATGCCGGGTAAAGACCACGATGGGGTGCAGTCCAGGGGGAGAGGCGAGGCCTCCCACTCACTCCCCTACGAAAGGGCGTCAGCGGGCCTGGCTGCTGGGCCTGCTGAGCTCGTGCGAAGGCTGGGCCAGGCCCAGGGATCTGACTGCACACAAGCCGCTGGCTCTAAGGACGATCTGAGGGTGTGTGCTCCCCTCATGGCACGCAGAAGTGGGCGCCACGGAGGGAGCGGAGAGGGACGAGGGAGACACAGAGGCCAGAGAAGTGGGGAACGACCAAGGATGGAAGACGGAAGAGAGGTGACACGGCACAGCGCCAGGAGCGGAGGAGCGGGAGGAATGAGTGTCGCTATGGGTTTGGGGAGGAACCATCGGTGCACACGAGCAGGCTGCAGGGACGGCTGGCGCCCAGCCCTAGCGGGACACGGTCTCCCAGCTCCTGCTCTGCAGGGCCCGGCCTCTCTGGGCCTCTCACGGCGGCTGCTGTCCGGTCTGCCCGGCAGGCACTGGGGCTGCTGCCTCTTTCCATCAGGGCCTCTCCATGGATCTGCCGGATGGAGAGGACCCAGGCAGCCCTGGGGTGTGGCTCAGTTGACCGAGTGTTGTCCATGCACCACAAGGTCGCTGGTCCGATCCCTGGTCAGGGCACCTGCCTGAGTTGTGGCCCGATTCCCAGTAGGCGGCGTGCAGGAGGCAGCTGGTCGATGTCTCTCTCTCACATCAGTGTTCCTCTCTCTCCCTCCCTCCCTCTCTAAAATCAACAAAAACATGTTAAAAAAGAAGAAGAAGAAGACAGGCAGAGGAGTGGCCTCGTCCCAGATGTTAACAAAGAGTCTCAGATGTTTGGCAGAACAGCCCGGTGGCCTGGACAAGCAGTGGCCATGTCCACACCTGCAGGTCCTGGCCGAGGGCCCTGGGAACGTCAGCCGAGGACGAGGGCAAACCTGGGACACGGAGGCGCCGGGGGCTGGACCGCCACCGGCCAGGGAGCGCCCCCTCCAGGCAGAATCAGAGCCGACTGGGAAAGCCCCGCGTCCCCCACCTGTTCCCCCGGGGCTCTGGGCAGCAGGTGGGGGCTCCTCAGCGAGGGAGGGTCCTGCACACGACCCAGAGCTGGCCCCGAGCCGAGGGGGGGGGAGAAGGTTCAAAGCTCTCGCTGGACAGAAAGCCGCCCCCGGGAGCAGGGCCCATGCAAACCAGGGACGTGAGTGGGTGTGGGCAGGTGGAAGGCCGCCATGAAGATGCCCCAGGGCTGCCTCCCTCCCAACACCCCTGCCCTCAGATAAGCTTCACTGTGGACGGGACTGACCGACCCGCCTCTAAGGAGCAGAATGAAGCAACAACGATGGGCTGTCGCTTCCGGGTCACAGACGAGCAGCGTCCGCCTGGCTCCCGAGGGAGGCCTTGGCCAACGGCCAGCGCGGAGCTACGCTCAGGCAACAAACGGCAGGAAACGGAACCCGGCGAACGGACATGCGTGAGCTCGTGAGCAGATTCTTCCTGGCCGGGCCTGCAGCGAGCACGCGGCTCAGGCCCACAGCACGGCTGACACCTCCCGACGGCCCGAGCCGGACGCACCAGGGGAGCCGGGACCAGGCTCCCGATGCACCGACACTGAGACAGGGAACGGCCGCTGGGCTAAGCCACTAAACGTGGGGGGATCTGCCACGCAGAACAGGTCACGGGGCCGGGACTCACCCAGGGAGGACACGAGGGCGAAGTTCTCCAGCATCACGTCGCGGTACAGGCGCCGCTGAGCCTCGTCCAGG